TTTTTTTCCCCCCAAATTAAAAAATTTTAAAATTCCTTTTTTTTTTTTTTTTTTTTTTTTTGCGGCTGGCCAGTATGGGGATCTGAACCTGTGACCTTAGTGTTATAAGGCTGTGTTCTAGCCAACTGAGTTAACTGGCTGGCCCAATTCACTCTTTCTGTATCTACTATTACTACTGCCATTCTCCAGACTCTCATCCTTCGCGATATCCCTTTATTTACCCCCTCTGATCATCCTAAACATTTCACCATTACTGAACATGGCTTGTCCCTTCAAGCTGGTCAGCCTTTTCACATTGCTATTCCTTCTGTATGGTATGCCCTTCAGTATTTTCAGCTAGTAGATTCACCCATCCTCTGAGCTCCAGCTCAATGTCACTGGTCTAGGAAGCTTTTCCTAGTCTACCGTTCAGATTATTCATTTCTTTCCTGTGCTCCCACCACACTCGGCACATACCTCTACCTCCCTAGACTGTGAGCTCTCAGAGGACAGGAACTGTGTCTTATTCATCTTTGTGTACCCAACACCCAGCCTAATGCCTGGCTTGTGATAGGCTTTGATGAATATTTGCTGAATGAATGAATGACTTTGCATTCATCTTCAGACCATCTTTGTGTATAATAATGACCCATTGGAGGCACTCTTTGGTGCCCAAAACTGGTCATTGGAAAATTGTCAGAATTCTCCATTTGTGAATCATAATAGGCCCACTGAAACTGTGCTTATTTTTATGGGAGGGGAACTCTCTTCCAGTCTGACATTTCCAGAGTGCTGCCATGTGTGAAATCATACCTCTCGGCATACATTACATTACTGTGGATGAGAATCAGTCAGACTTCCCAATAGAACAGCATAGGGATGGCCCAGCACTTTACCAATAATTGCTTTCATGTGTCAACCCAGGAGCACCATCCTTTGTTTCCCTTTCTGCTTCAACACACCAGAGTATGTCACAGATGCATATCTAAGGGTGAAGAGTACATCTGTCACCTGATGTTCACCTTGCCTTGACTCTGGAACCAAGCACCTGAAGAGTGCTCAACAAACAGGTGCTACCTAGCTTAATTCCAGCTCAGCGTGTGCTTAGGTTTCCTGCAGCTGCCTGGTTGTCACATGTGCCTGGCCCAGGGGAGCTGGGTTGCATGGAAACACACCTGCTGATGATAGTCCCACTCAAAGCATAATGAAATTGCCCAGAAGACGGACATCTATGTTTGAGTCTAAACTCTACCATGGCATAGAAGACTAACTGCTGGAGATTAAGAGCATGAGTTCCAAATCTGACTTTGATGCAGATGTCTGTCTTTATTTATTTATTTTTTTTCCTTTTTTTTTTTTTGTCTTTTTCCATGTCCGGCAACGGATCGCAACCCTCAGTGTCGCCCCCGTACCGGACCGGGACCAGCAACGGGATTGCAACCCTCGGTGTTGCTCCTGCGCCTCGCTCAGCCAGTGAGCGGGAACCGGTCTGTATGTGGGATCCGAACCCTCGGCGGGAGCGCCACCACGCTTCCCAAGCAGCGCACTATAGCAGTGCGCCACCGGGCCGGGCCCCTGTCTTTATTTTTTTAATTTTTTAATTTTTATTTGTCCTTTTTGAGACCGGCCGCACCGTGCTCAGCCAGTGAGCACACCAACCATTCCCATATAGGATCCGAACCCACGGTGGGAGCGCCGCTGCGCTCCCAGTGCCGCACTCTCCCGAGTACGCCACGGGCTCGGCCAGATGTCTGTCTTTTATTTTTTTTTTCCTTTTTGTCTTTTTTACTGACCGGTAATGGGATCGCAACCCTCGGTGTCGCACCCGTACCGGGGACCAGCAACGGGATTGCAACCCTCGGTGTCGC